AAAAAAACAAATAACTTCTGCATGGTTACTGTCCTCAAAAAATTCTCTTTCATTGGACACTTATTAAAAGCAACAGTAAAAATATTTATATACATATTCAGCTGGAAGATTCTCCATAGATATGCTAATGTTATCCTTTATTGATAAAATCTCGTGCCCAATTCAAGAGCAAAAAAATTTTTTCTCCACACTTCGGTATACTTCTGTAGACTTCCCAATAGATCTACGGCGCTTCTCTACAATTCTCCATACGATATTATACTTTTTTAGATATCGCTATACTTTTATACAACTCTTATTTCCAAGAGATTACATGGGGAATGTAATTCAACTTTTTTTCGTAGTAATATGCATCAGTTTTTTTTTAAAAACTGAAAATTATTAATATTTATTCTAGATCAACGATGAAATCTTCAAGGAAAATGTGACTGCATCAAAAGAAATACAAAATTTTTCGCTATCAACATTATAGATAAGCGTTATTTAATTCAAACAGTTCATCGTTCAGAATGAAAATTAGTAATATTTGTCAACACTTATACAAACAACCACCATGTTGACTGTCAACCAATTGACACTAACAATCGTTTATCATATGATCATTTCTCTCGTGTTATTGGAATTAACTGAAAAGCACTAATATGAATACTATTTATTATCTAGTTGTTTTCTTGACATTTTATTGTACAAAAACTATCTTATTATTACAAAAAAACAACACATTTTAGCTTTCTATTTATTCTTTGTTGTTTTTCAGCGATTGATTCTTTTCAATACTTTTCGGCACTCCTTCGTAATTCTGTACTTTGGAAGTACAAGGATATGCATTTTTCTCTTCTTTCCTTTTACACATCACCCCCAAATATGACTCTAACAAAGTAATAATGGTTAAAAAAAAAATACTCTTTTTACACGAATGAGCGACTTATATTCTCTTCTATTTGATGTATGCTGCATGAGAAAGAAGAGAAAAGAACGACATGTTAATTATCGGTCTTGTCCAAGCTATATAAAAGAGAGTTAAGGAAAAAAAGACACTTAGTCTTGATAAGCATAAACATCACAATAAGAAATCTGTTGTCTTGTGACACACTTCGTTGATAAGTGATATATGATTAGAAAGGGCTGTGTATAATAACAAATCTTCAATTGAAGCAAAAATTTTCATTCCTTACTATCTTTAATTTATTGATCAAATGACATCACCATTCATGCTATGAAAACAATTATTCAAGTTTTGAAAGACACCAAGAAAATTCATCATGATTTATCTATTCTTGTTATTCACAATGATGTACCGACGAATAATTGGACAACTCTTTTCCAATTACTCAATCAAGAGAAGTCCTATTATGGTGTAGCCAGTGATCGATCATTTTATGAGCCATATCTATCATCAAATTCGCTATCAATCGGTTACTCATCTTCTCCATTACATAGGCTTTCATGTAAACCATACGATATAAAAGATCATTGTTTTGCTCACTTTGTATATGGACAAGAATTTGAACGATTTCAACATCAAGCGAAACTCGATTTCAATGTTTCCATCGAACAATGAGCACGTGAACTTCAATCTGGAGATATTCCTATACTTCAAATTCTTTCTGTCAACACTGAGATGTCAACAGGTGACGATCGAATGATGCAATGTTATATCAATGTACTCGATCGATTTCATTACGAACACCAGAAGAAATACTTAATTTCACTATTCCTGTTTTACATGCGATCATTTGCCGAATATAATGATCGTCATTTGTTCGATCGATGTTCGCTGCAATTAATGAAAACGGACTTTGTTGAAGTTCGATCCAAACTGTATGATTTTTATCGCAACACGCAAATAACAATCGAACAGATAGCAGATATGTCGACAGCAGTCGTTCGTAGTGTATCTGAATCGATCGTGATACAAGTCTTGAAAAAGAATGGACAAGGTCAAGATGATATTGAACTAATTCTTGCACAATTTTAGGTAGCTTTTCAAAACACAATACGAAAGAATCCTGATGAACTTGATACTTGTCATTGTAACACTTATTTAATTTTGAAAAAAATATAGCTGATTTCGTTAAAAATTTATTGTCCATATTATAGTTTTGAAGATGCTTTGAAATGAGATAATACTTCTGTGAATCTTCTAACTAACTGTTCAGCAAGATGAGTATTGACATTGAATCTATTCATTTAAACTCATCCTCACAGGTTCAAGATAATATATTACTATAATAATTTGACTTTCAATGACTTGTTACTCGAAATGACTTCATTACAGAATCTGTGATTGACTTTAAATAGCAGTATATTCCATACTATTTTCTACCGGATCACATGCCATCCATAGCCTGTACATTATATCCGTGATTTTCCATGCGGACAGGTAATTGCCATATAAAACGGAGATACATTGTACAGGATTTGCTGTTTCTTTCTACTTGTGAACTCGAGTCGAGGTTGGTGTAGGGTCGCCTTGCACTGTCGGGAAAAATTACAAGTCTAAATCTTGGATATCATTTTTTGAAGAAAGGTACACAAATTTCTCTAAAACTGTCGATCGGCTGAACATCGAACGTCGGATAATTAAGCATAAAAATACAAAAAAAGTCATTTTCAGTTTGTCAACACTTGGTATGAGACTTTTTCTTGGACTTGTTAAATGAACAAATTAAATTCGCAGACAATAGACTAGTACTGTGAATGCCTCTACATGTTTGATACATTGTCTATATCAACTATACAGAATAGCTTGTTTATCTCATTAAATTGAGTTGGTGATACAATGCAGAAATATTAGACCAACGTAGTTCAGACAGAACAGAATCGTGATTGTCTCACAAGAAGATAATTGTTGCACAAGAATAAATTACTTTTAGACTATGTATAATAATGTATTTCGAAAAAAGAGACGTAGTCGTTTATTATATCTGACACACTCTTTTATCATTGAGATAACTAAGTAAGCACGATCGATCCATGTGTCGCATTTCAAAAGACACTTGGTACATTGAATAACCTACCATTATAAAAACAAACCTTTCACTGTTATGGTTTTCAATTTCTAATACTCTCTTAAATCTATTTATCTCTTAGCCTTTTTATTGTTTTACAACTGACTATCGCATGATAATCTCGGCTTTACCATAATTGGATGAGATGGCGTTAAAATAACTATCGATCTAAAATTTTATATACAAATAGGTTTCAAACTCATATGGAGCGTAAATAGGATATTCTTTCAGCCAACTTCTATTTGTAGCAATATGCTGACAAAGAAAACATATCCGATCACATTTTTGTATGACAAAAAAAATAGAATATTGAACTTGATCACTTTTGTAAAACGGAACCAAGAAGTCTGCAACTAGGACACTGAGAGATTTAGGATATCGTAGTTATCAGACAATGCTATGTCGAACCTATCTATTTGTGTTAATCTACCGTTGCTTCTTTGCTCTAATACATATTTTCAGAATTTAATCTCGAGGAATACATAGTATCTTATGGGTAGAAGGGACGGATACTCATTATACTCATTCTTTTATGCGGCTTATTCCTAGACATTGTTACTAGTTTTCTCTAAAAAGAACGGTGAACGTGTTGAAATACTAGTGAAACAAACATCGTGTTGGATGGACTATATATGGGGTGATCAATAATGAATGGCCGCACTTTGCATTTCATATCTTCATCTCTAAATAAGTATCATCAAAAAACAAAATATACCATAAGATGCAGTATGAAAAGCTCTACAATTTACATATGACTGCTTTTCGTACAGTTGCACTTTTTTGCTTTCAAAATCAGAAAAATTCGGAAGAATCAAATTTCGACCGTCTGAAAATTGATCCAGAGAATTTTTCTGTTTTTGAAAATAGTTACAGTAAGCTTTATTGTGTAAATTGTAGAGCTGTTCAGGCTGCATCTGTCGGTATATTTTATTTTTTGTTAAATAAAAGATATCAAGTGATAAAAAGATGAAATAAGAAAAACACGAATTCATCTTGTAGAGAAAAAATGTCATTTTCGCATGGTCGAAATTTGATCGCTCCGAATTTTGCTGATTTTGAAAGCAAAAGCGTGCAATTGTACGAAAAGCAGTCGTACGTAAATTGTAAAGCTTTTCACGCTGTATCTTGTGGTATATTTTGTATTTTGATGATACTTATTTAAAGATGAAGATATGAAATGCAAAACGAGGCCATTCATTATTGGTCACTCGGTATTTCACCACCATTTGACGAGCGTTGACGATGCCAACAAAAAAATAATATCATAGAGATACTACTGTCGTAGACTAAAAAACCTAACAATGTAAACATGAGACTAATGTTGGATCATGTTAGATTTATTCATGCTTTGAATATGACGACGTACTAGAGAACTTTTTTATATCATCAACCTGTTTTTTTGCCGATACAGAGAATTCATGAGAAAAATGAGAAGGTAGTTTAAATGAGCTGCTTTTTTGAATGTAATATATCTTTCGATGAGGATAATTTTGCTTCAAAATCAGTAGTATTAACTTCCGTCAGATATATAAAACAGTCGACAATTTATCGTGAATTCGGATATGATCATCAGCGCAAAATAAATGAATGCCACTGGGATATGATTCTTGCAATCATTTGGTTACATAGTATGTACTGCCGTTCGTATACTATATTCTAATGTCCATTCAATCAATCGTTTTCTTAAGTATATTAGAAACATATTCGATATGTTTCGTGCATTTATTTTCATATCAAACGAAATCTTCAATGTTCTTTTATGGAATTTGTATGTATGTCTGCATTGATGCATTGCACGCATTCATCTGTTCTGCTAAAATTTTTCACCCTACTCTCGCCGTAACCGTGAATCATACATCTTGGTTAAGGTTTCTCCACGGTAAATGCATATGGAATGTCTACATGTTTAACTTGTCAGTTCGACAAGTATATATAATCAGCTCATCATTATAAAGAAATTTTACAGTATCTATTGTTGTTCGTTCAGTCATGCAATCTTCTCATCATTTGGATGTTTTACGTGGACGGTGTCAAGAACTTCCAAATGTTCGATCGAAAATAGTTCGTATCTTTCTTAGTTCGACATTTTCAGGTGAGGAGTCTTATTTGAATCTAACTAATTAGTATGAAAAACATAGTATGTTTTGATATTTAGATACGTTATGCGAACGAGACTCATTGATCGAAAGTGTATTTCCTAGATTAAAAGATTATTGTCGTGAAAAATATGGTCTCGAATTTCAAGTTTGTAGAAATGTTTTTTTTTGGTTCATTGTGTTGTATCAATATTTGAATTTTCATTTTAGTATTCTGATATGCGATGGGGCATTGAAACAGAATCATTCGATAATCATAGCGAAGTTCAAACATGTCTCAATGAAATAGAACTGTGCAAAAAATACTCAGTGGCTACGAATTTTGTGGTCAGATAATTTTTCAGTAACATTTCATGAGAATATGACATGTTACGAATACATGTGTTGAAACAAAACAATCACTCACACTTTAGACAAACGAAATATTTCGTTTGCACTTTGTATCCAATTTTGATTTATCATGACAAAATGATGTAGTATTTGTCATGATGTTTCAAGTACAAAAATATGGAATAATACAGTTCATATTGTTTCATCATGTTTTGATACACGTACGAGTCATGTGTCATTATGTGTTGAAACTTGAAAAATAATTTATAAGTGTTTATACACACACGTGTTCGTAACGTTTCATATTGTTGTATAATCTTAAAAATCGTAATCTTTCATATTCTTGGATTTATAAATAGGTTCTCTTAAGCCACCGTTATGGGTCACGACCAACACCAGCCATGATTCGTGCATCACTTTTTGAAGAGTTGCTTGAGATCATTCGTTCGGATCCAAACCTGAACGCTGATGCTGAATTACTTTCAGAATGGTATCAACTTGATACGAATAGTGTACCGGCTGCGTATATACTTCGTCCTATATCGACGAAACTACCAAACATCAAGTCTCGAGTATAAAATGAACTTGAACTACAGTCAATAATTGCTGCAAACATTCTTATTTTTAGAATACAGAAGAGATGAAACAAGCTGATAAAGAATGGCAACAAATTAATGATCGTATTCGAACATGTTTTCGACAAACAGCAGCCAAATGTTTAGAACAAGGACAAATTAATGAGAATGAATATGATGATTTTTTCATATCAGGTAGATACGATTTTTGTATTTATTATTGCATTAATTCGAACTTTTGCTTTTATTTAACAATTATAGTTACAGAAAAAGAAATCGTAAAAGGCATTCTATCAGCATCGGATGCTAACCAACGTACATTGTGTTTTTTACGTGAAATTGAAAATATTCATGATCATTTATCAGATCGTAAAGCATCAAAATTTGTTGATTTACAATATTTGAATGATGGAGAACCGATTGTAGATAATGAAGCTGAACAATTACTTAATCGTTTAAAGAATAAACGTATTCCGAAAATATTACAACCGAATAACATATTTTCATACAAAGTACGTTGGAAATCAGATGGTATAAATCGACGTGACCATGTCGAGTACATATCACAATTCAATGAGGACTTCTACAATGCCATCAAACAACAAGTTGATGATTGTGCCAAATCTCGTGTCATGATGGTTTCCGATCCATTGCAACATGAAATATTAGAACATGCTATACAATGCAAAACGTACGTGGCTAAATTTCATGGTCGAACTGATGTTTTAAATAAAGTAAGAGCTTTTCTATAGATTTCTGTTGTTTTGTTTTAAACACACTATGGTTTTATTTTCGTCATAAGTTAAAAGATTATATAAAAAATGACAATGAAAATCGACCATGCATTGTCTATGGAGCTTCTGGTTGTGGAAAAACAAGTGTATTGGCTAAAGCTGCTACTGAAGTAAGTATTTAGCTTATAATTTACAATCAAAAAGCAAATAGTTCTTTTGTTTTATTTCATGAATACTTAGGCATTGAAATGGTGGTCCGATCGATCTGTTTCAGTCATTTTACGTTTCCTTGGGTAGGTTAAAACGTTAGATTTAAATTATCTTTCATTTATGTCTTTGTTCAACATTTGAATTTTGACTTTTTAATGTATTTAGAACAACGCCTCCTTCATCAACAATCTACAAAACTATGCTGTCGATATCAAAACACATTTGTGCATTATACAATCTACCGATGGAAATTTATCCTGATGTTATAAAATTACGTTATCAATTAGAAACTAGTCTATTTATGCAAATACCTGATAATGAATATCTTATTATTTTACTCGATTCAATCGATCAACTACAAACAGATGGATATGATTGTCAATGGTTGCCTGGATTATTTCCAAAGAATGTTAAATGTATCGTATCAACATTACCGGATCATGGTAATATTTTATCAAATTTACAAATGATTATCAATCATAATCCATCTATGCCGAAAGATACTGAACATTTACTTGTCTTAGTATCACCTTTTCAAGCATCTACAGTAGAAATAGTTTATAATGATTGGCTTGCAATGAAGCAACGTTCATTGAGCAATGAACAACGTTCGTTTATTCAAAATTTAATGGCAGAACGAACTGAAATTCTTCCTCTATTTATGAAACTCGTTTTTGATATTATTTTAACTTGGCATTCATATGACTTTATAGATTTTAAACTACGAAAATTAAAGTCAGTCGATGATTGTATTCGTTATCTTTTTAATCATCTAAAAACTGTTCATAATCCTATTTTATTCCATCGTGCTATATGTTATATGACGGCATGCCGAAGTGGCATTAGTCAAAATGAACTCGAAGATGTGCTTTCACTTGATGATGATGTTCTTAAAAGTGTTTTTCAACATTATATACCACCTGTAAGACGATTACCTGGCATTTTATGGACAAGAATTAGAAATGATTTAGATGAATATATCACAGAAAAAGAAGTTGATGATTCATCAGTGATCTATTGGTATGATTTAACATATTTCTATGTTAAGATTTAATTGAGTTTAAGAAAGTAAATGATAGACTATTGGGGAGGAGTTGAGGTAATTCTGAAATTGATCCTTTAGGCTTTTTATATGTACATATGAATCCAAAATGTCTTAAACCTCTCAATCAAAAATTCCCTATATCTTCTATTTAGCTGCTGAAATATGCCGTTGATTCGACTTGTATTAAAAATGCTTTCAACAATTTTACTTTAGTATATGTCAGAAATTACAGCATCAAAAACTGACGAAAATTAATTATTTTGATCATCTTTTTCATTCAATCATTTATTTTCATTTGACAACGGTAATTTGAAATCAGTCCACAAAATATACAGATTTTGTCAGTGTATCTGCTGTTGTGAAGCCAAATTAATAATAGCTAAACTAATTGTTGTCTATGCTTGGGTAGACTTTTTTCCCTATAAAGTATCTGAAAAGTTTTGAAGAGAAAAAAAAGGTATCTTTGAGAACAACCATGATTGACAGTTGTAACAAGTCGGACAATATCTGATTCTCGGTGGATAAACTTTGTCAAAACAATTCGATTAACAAAGAATCAAGGCATCATTCTAAAATTCGACCAAAGAGAACTCTAAAGAGTATTGATGCGAACCGTATAATAAAAATTGAAAATTCATAGGTTTTCTCAGTCAAGTTACGTGATGATCTGACGATGGTAAATGACCGAACAGTTCACCCTGAAATAGTTTTGATTAACGAGAATTCGTTTTCTAAGACGAAAAGTTCGGGGCTCAATACAATACTCCATATCGAAGGCTTGAATATAGTCATATTCGTTCTTGAAATAGCAGCTACTGAGCTTAATCAATGTATATCAGTCTACGGCCTACTATTGATGGAAGCTTTTCATGAAATATTAAGGAACATATATAGAACTGATTGGGCAATATTTCATAAACATCATAACATTCGGTATGGAAACACAAATCTACGTTGATTCAAACTGATTCTGAGTAAACGATCGAATCATACACTACTGATAGATCATCACGTAATTTGACTGGAAAACAAAACCATGCGTTTTGATAGGGCTATAATGAATTTTCAAATATTATTACGTGGTTTCCATCAATAATCTTTAGAGTTCTCATTTATGGATATTGACAATGATATTCTGATTGTTTGTATATAGAAATTCTCGACAAAGTTCAACAATCAATAAATAAGTTGATAGAGAATGTTGAAATATATAACGATAAAGATACATTCTTGAACTTTAACAAAGATAAAACAGAATTTCGAATTATGGTTTTTTTTGGTTTTTACTATTAATTCATATTTGAGACTTGGTAGTTTTTTGAATTTCAGACATTTGTAATCCATAGAATTTGAATTGACTTTCAATGCATGCAGTGATAATTATATTTCACAGCCTCAAACTCACATTTTCGATCCATCATAAAATGTTAGAGAAATATCAACAGACTATTCTTGATAGTTTATCATGTATTGGAAACGATTTAAAACAATGTTTGATTAGTGATTCGAACAAGTCCAAGATGCTTTAGATGACGATCTTGTAAATTTAGCATCGAATATTTGTCTACTCAAGATTCTTTTCTCTGTACAATTAACGTTTCTAAATACTATTTCAACTTTACTGTTAAAAATTTGAGTTCATTCAACTATTTGAAACAAAAAGATGGATATTTTCTTCATTTTATATCACGATACACATTTCTATACGTTAGGTATCATCGTCGATTTATTGAAGTTGCACAAGCTCAATTTATTTCAAAAATGGATTCTCAAGAAAGAAAAGCTGTCTTTCAAAATTTAATTGATTTATACAAGGAAACATGGAAAGGTAAAAATAAGCCATTCAAAATAGAAGATCCGAAGTTAATGGAAAAATATCATTTGACGGAATCGAATGGTGAAATACAAGCAAATCGATTGACAACTTCGCAACCAATTGAATTCGTTGATGTAGATGGTCATATACAATACAACAAAAGAAAGTTGAATGAATTGCCACAATTTTTAACTCAATTTACAACCGATTTAGCCATTCCAATCGCTGCTGAAGAAGTCTTTTTCAACTATTCATTCATGCGTAAAGTTTTCTATTCGTTGTTCGAATAAAAATGATTGTCTCACATCGATATATATATATATTTTGATCTATTTAGGTGCTAAAATTGCATGTTCACCTTTCAATGACATTATGAACGATTTGCAAGCATTCAAGAACAACTCAGCATATCAAATTTCTCAACAAGCTAAAGAAACAAAGAAAGAAATCGATATATTCGCTATGTTATATTTGATTGTCGGCCCTCAACTTCAAGAATATCCGAATAATTATCCCTTTGAAATTTCTTCACGTCTTCTAAATCTGTTTGGTATCAAACCATATATCACCAATCTAATAAAACAATTTGATGAACAAAGTATACGTTATTGTTCTCTGATTGTTCCTTATTGTCAACTTCAACCTCCAGGTAGTGGTTTACTCTTTTCAGTTGCTCGACATACAACATCCATAGTCGATTTCGATTTTACTGAAGATCAAAGAGTAGCTATATCTCTATCTGATAGAATCGTCGTAATTGATATGAATGCAGCAAGTACAGTGTTGGATATCAATTTACCGACATTGGATGAACCGTATTTGAATTCAACCACACTACCAGAAGCATATAATTTCAATGAAAATGATCAAACAAAAAATGGTTCCTCTTCAACAGATGACAATGATCAATTCAAGAAATACTTATTTCTTGTCAATTCACTACATCATATCTATCTTATGTCTGCTCATGAAAATATTAAATTTGAACGATCATCTCAAGTTGGCTATTTGAATGTTGAAGTTTTTCATAAGAAACGTGGTCTTTTTGTCATGGCAGAAATCAATGGAAATTGTGTTGAATGTTGGGATGTTGTAAAAAATCGATTGTTCGATCGAATTAATTTTCCATCATCTAAAATTAAAAAGGTTCTTTGTGTTAACATCTATTCAATGATTGTTACAGTTCTTCAAGATGGAACTATTCATTTTCATTCGATTACTGATTGGACCAAATCATCATTGGTTCATCGTGGTACCATTCAAGCTGGTATTCATCTCGATTTAGTTACTGTCGATGAGCGAATATTAATTGTCACATTTGATACAACTATTCCTATCGATTTTGCCATCATTGATTTAAAACAATTCAATAAAAATGAACAAATCATATGCGACAACCAAATACCTAAAACATTATTCGCTTTCGATCCTCCGATTGGACCTAAACCAATCAAATCTATCATATTACCTCACAAAGAATCAATGAGCGGAAAGAAAAAGTCAAATTTTCCACTATTTATAGCTAAGACTACCACTGATGCGTATATTATTCATAAATGCATTAGTAAAGACTTATCCTACGTGTGCATTAATGGTCGATTTGATGTTGTGTCTATGCATGCAAGCAATCCAAATACAATATATACAGCTCGTGGAGGCATCCTCGAAGTATATAAATGGGCATGTATTGAGGGTGAAGATGATAAAGAAGGCAATCATAAAATTTTCCATAAATATCAACTCTATGTCTCCATCGATATTAGTTCGTCACCTGTAACTACAATTACAGCTTCGTCTGAAAACGGTCAGTTTAAAGTCTGTTTCTAAAAATAACATTGGTCATTAAAGTCATTTTCAATTAGCTCGTTGTTTTGAAGAATTTGAGTATCCGAAGAAACAATGAATACTGATTTGTTTAATTCGATTTGCTAGGTTATCAGATAAACTAGAGAATAATAATTTTTAGAATTACAAATAACTTGGAACAAAAGCTTTAAGTCATGTAGAGATCGATTTGATTCTTAATGAATTCTAATCTATAGAAGAAGATGATTGTTAGTAGAGTCCACTAGAAATCTTCATAGATAAACAAAATAAAAAAGTTTATTTTCTTTCTCTATTACATAAATTTTCTTTTTGAAAGCAATCTTTGAGGAAAATTTTTCAAATATTAGAAACAATACATGAGTTGCGAAAAGCTGTAAGAAAAGAGGTAGAACATCATCAAAACTCTGTGAGTAGAGAAAGTTTTCAGAGTCTCCGAGTCTATATCAATATTCTTCAGATTATAGAACTTCAAAAACGTGACCATTGGCTTTTTATGGTTTCATAGAACTCATGATTAATGAAAACAAAATTATTTTTCATCTCAGAAATCAATAAATCTTAGTTCTTCCCTTTTTAAAATCAATTTATCTAAAATGATTAATGAAACCCAAGTAATAGCCATAGAACCAAAAAACAAAAATTCATAGAGATAAGTCAAAATGAATCTAGACAAAAGTAATTCATCGGCGTCTATTCTAAGTCGACTTTTTGAATTGCTCATGCATGTATATAATGGAAGGCAATAGATCACAAAACAATATTGATTTTATGCTACACGAATAGTGATGATTGTTGAAATAAGTATAAATCAAAACCAGCTAAGCCCATAACCTGTCTCACAGATCGCGAAAAACATCTAGACTTACTGTTTTCCACTCCAGTAAAGACCCACACACCTGTATTTTCTGATTCTTTTTCAACTGTATCACGGAATACGATAGATGTGATATGTATTTTCATTTACATTTAAATCAGATCTATTACGTTTTACATTTTAATATTATAGTATCCGTACGACGTTTTTTTGAGACACTCAAATTTTCAAAAGATTGAGGAAATGAATATAGCTTTCGCGAGGCACAATCTTTATCTATTAATCATAGCGATGCAATTTATTTCTATTCCATTATTATAGCATCCATATTTTTATGTTCGTTGGGAAATGGAGTTATTCAAGCATACTATTCTACTCAAGCAAGAGAAGCGTTCAAGAAAATGCCATCGTTGCCACGTACAAATGAAGTCATACAAACTGTTAAATTATTTGGAAAAATAGCTGTTACTCTTGACGGTTCAAAAAGGTAATTTCATGCATGTTTTCTATTTGAATTCTACTGAGAAAGAATAGATTATGATTAATAATTTTTCGGAAAAAAAAATACAAACAGTTTTACTCAACAATTAACTTTGCAAACAAAGAATCAGCCGTTAAGACTACGAAGAAATTTTATCAATGATCCTTTCCAACTTTGACTTTACTCTAAAATTTTCGACACCTGATTTCTATGCTCTTGTCATTAATTTGGTGTTCTGCCATTCATAAAAATTAACACATTTCAAAAATAGGAACAGCTTTTTTAAAACTCTTTACAAAAAAAAAGGTTTATTTTATTCTAATGGTTACACAATCAAAAGGATATGGTGGAATTTTATGTTATAAAGTATTTTTAATGTGATATGTTCTTTTGTAAGTAAGAAACTGTCATTTAAAAAAAACGATGGCTAAGTATTTTATTATTTTGAGCCTTCATTTATTCTTATTCAGCACACATTTCTGTTGAATTAGCCTTAACTGAATTCAAATAAGGTTTCTAATTCGTTCAGCTACACAACAAAGAGAGTCAAAAATTTTTTCATTAATCAAATCAATCGTCACAGAAACATTTCCTATGACTAAGTATGGCCCGTTTGAAGCGCAACTTCGTCGCATTTATTGAAACAACATGTCGAAAGAATAAATTCTCGGAAAATCGATCAGCTACATGAGTAACCACGAAGAAGTGAACTATTGAAAAGAAAGCTTATAGTGTCACTAAGCAACGCGTAATCACGCAAAGTTTAATGTCCCATTTTTAGTGTACTCAAAAAGTGAGTACACTACTAGAATCGGTCAGTATGTCCGGCCGTTAACACGATAACTTTCGAAAGGAGAGTCCGATCACGATGAAATTTGCTACACAGTTCAGTCTTTACAATATCTCGGTCGAGTTCGAAGATGAGAAGGATCCGTCAAGAAATGGCTGAGTTATCGAAAAAATTGTGATTTTTGACCAGACCATCCATGAGGGGGGGTACGGGGATTTTTCGAAAAAAAAATTTTTTGCTCATAATTATTCACAAAATACATAAATCGACTCAGTTTTTAACGCTGATTCTGAATCTGATATTAGTTTTGAACCGAATCATAGTTTTGTGTACTCAAAAAGTGAGTACACTATATAGTATAGTCAGTGCGTTCGTCCGTCCGGTTGGCTGTTTACATGATAACTTTTGACAGCAGAGTCAGATTGCGATGAAACTTTCTACACAGCTTAGTCTTGACAATATCTCGGTCGAGTTCGTAGATGAGAAGAATCGGCCGAGCCATTCCTGAGTTATTGAAAAAATACCTATTTTTCCCTATAGCCTTCTGTGGAAAAATGGACCCATCGTGACTTTCGTAAAAGACTTTTCCTATCATAGTCAATTAAAACCCCAACTATTATATACCATTCGATAGAGAATTTCAAGAGCTACAAAATGATATATAAAACAGAAAGAAGCAAGAAGTCTGACTCATCTATCACAAGGATACTTAAAGAGAACTAGGTTATATTTTGGTCCACGATCTAATTGATTCATAAACAGAGCTCTATCTTCTGATCACATTGATGATACTTCGAGGTTTTCAGAGATGGAGAACTCGAATGTGTACTGCACTTCCATCGAAATACTATTGGTTGTGCAGTGACCAATGGAAATCAAGTTATAGGAAAAACGCCTTTGTTAGGGTAAATCAAGGAAAAGAGTTCAAACTTGAGCTGTATTCGGTCCCATGTCCTATTGGTTTGGCAACGCGCAATAGAAATCAATATTTTAAATGGTAGGTTCCCCAGTATAATTTTGATGTTGAGATATTCTAGGATGACTGATTCGTATGATTCACTTTTTGAAGTACACATAACTGTCGGATTTAAATCCGAAGTTTCCGCATTTATCTATTCTGAATTTACAGCTCATAGACAGTTGTGCTTCCAATTGAAGCGCAAGAATGTTTTTATCAAATCTATTCAGTATGATCAAACTCACACTGTGAACCACTATAACCCAAATGCGAAAACTAACGGTATTGTTGTACTTCATTGTAACATGTTTCTTTGAATAATCACTGATCCTTATCATGTGATTGTACAAAGATAGGAAAGTTTATGTCCAATTCAATTACCTATTAAACTTTTAAAAACTCAAAATTCAAAAATATGATGACAAAATTTTACTTACAAACTCTTGGTATATTATAAAGATTACTATTTTGTTCAATTTATTCCAAAATGTATTTTACCTGCATTAGAAATAGTAATATAAAAATCCTTGTTCTTATGAATATACTAATATAAATACTGTAACCGATTAGCTTATTAACACATAGAAGTGTAATGTCCTAATATGTGTTTGATAAAAGGCTTCATTGAATAAATAATAATAACGAAGAATCATCGTGAATAGACTTCTGACACGTTTCATAAGCTATTAATCGCATTAGTTGACAATATTCATACATTTCTCTTCAGTTTTGTCCTAAGATCAAAGAAAAGGATTGTATATGAAAATATTTATAAAAAGAGCCAGTTCATGTCAAACGCAACTAATTTCGCATGATTGAGATTCCTCGATTTTACTTAAATGAAAATACATTATAAAGAGATGAATTTTACGAATTCTGGAAGTACTTTCTTTGAAAAAACCGAGTCTTCAACCTTTAGTGAATTGATCTTATCAAAGTTTCTTAAAATATAGAAGTCTCAATAGATGTTTTTGATATATAAACAGACGTATATTATATTCATGGTGCTATGGAAAGATTACTGTCTAACTGAAGAAAAAAAAAAAAAATCATTTGTTCATATTCTTTCAGTGAACTCACCTCATGGACGTATCAACATGCAGCATCGATTGAATCCACTCGCCTCTTTCGTGATCATATAACTATCAATGACTTTGCCATTACATCTAGCAAATTAGATTCTGAGATTATATTCGTACTTGTACTTACAAGTAACCGTTGGATTGAAATTTATGAAGCTAAATCACTTAACAAGGAGACTTTATTTAATCTTCAATTGCATTCTCCAGCACGAGTTCATTCGACACACAGTGGTACGTTTTTTGTGTTAACAAACAATGGTTTAGCATATTCTATTGCTCAACAAATTACTTCTGAAAATGAAATCCAATTTAACCAGACAGCTAATATTCAATTGAAAATTCCATGTTCAAAAATGTTTACTTCGGTTTTAACTCTCAATTCATTAGAAAATCTTATAATATTTGCTGATAATGGACAATCAATGGCAATCTGGACAATCGAACGAATTATATATATTGACGTTGATGTTTCACCTTATCTTTTATCATCGCAATTGAAATCTATTGACAGTAAAAGAACTGAAAACTTATTATTAATATATTTTGACGATAAAAATCTTCTTTCCTGTCAAGTAAACCTAGAAGAATCGATCGATAGAGGCTCTCTTCAAATGACTCCATTTGATAAAGCCGATAAATTTTGTCTAAAAAATGATTGTCTTGCAACATATAACAATGGAAATACTCAACTTAACTTACACAACATCCGTTCACGTACATGTTATGAACCGATTCAATTAGAAAATGAATGTCTACAATTATGTTTAAATGAATCTGCTAGTTATGTTTTTGCTCTTGTCAAACCTCGGGTCTTGTTCATGTATCGTATTAATGATCGTCGACAATTAGCTAAATTATTTGTTTATGATTTTGTTTCATTCATGGTAGCAGACAATGAGTTTCTTGTTTTAGCTATGAATGACCGACGTCTACTTACACTCATGATTGCCGATCCTGATGATCCAAACATACAGGCAAAAATACAAGCTTTACCTAGCAGGTATGTATTACGAGAATCATAGCGATTCATCTGAAGTTAGCTAGAACAATGAATCCAATATGTCATATAAAAATTTTTTGTTACATACTCACCTTAAACTGACCATTACAGTGAAACAGCAGTTAGAGCACTGCCAAAGGATCTATTTATATAATCATTGAAAATTGACTGATGTCCAGTTTTTTGTTCTTTCCTATCCAGAAGGTTAGCAAAGATCGAGACTGGTTACTGGAATATATTTTCTGCACTATTTCTATTCCATCATTTCAAGTTTTATGATCTGATGATATGAAGCTAAATTTTTATTAGGTTGTGTTGAGTCGACTGAGTGATGTATCAATTGTAGAAATCGAACATATTTAATTAGCACAAGCTTACTTGAAAAATTTGGTATCTATCTGTGAAATAAACAGTGATGAGTGGCGGTTAGTTGCGGTTTTCTGTGATTTTCATCATATGGGAAAACTTCTGAATTAAAACATTAATTATAGTTATGTTAGGTATCAGTCTATAGGAAACTGCAACCTCTTTAGAGCTCATATCAACATAGATCAACAATTATGCTTATCAATACTGGATAAACCAGATTAAATATCCCGTTTTTGCTTGGCTTGAGTTACGCTGGATCCGAAAATTTTGATTCCGATGCTAAATGATAAAGCAATTTGTGCATATTTTATTCGTTTTACTTCTTTTTTTAATTAAGCATTTACCTTTATTTTCTAGGCTAAAGAATATTGGATATCATAGAAAAATCACTTGCTTAGTAATAAAATCATAAATATGTAATAAAACATGTTTACTGCGCTAAATTGATTTCAAAAGTTCCATTCTTCTAGTCTGTGAAATAAAATATTTTCGTGTATATTGTGATGTGTACAGTTGGATCAACTAATTTATTTCTCCTTTGACAAATAGAAAACATCAATCAGACGTGCACTAACTGAAGAGTCCTACTTTTCTTAAGAAATTTTTCCAGTACTTGGCCTTACAAAAACTTACTCTTTTTATCTAAACAATTGCAGAATATCCAGCTCTTCAACATGGTTTTCTTTAAAATGACCAACCTCTTTTGTAATCGAATAAGAAAGTTGAAATGTTTTCAACTATATGAAAGTGCGTCAATTGTAGAAAACTATTCATACGTTATAAGTTTTAAACATAGCACAACTTAGTCTGAACATTTTTCTTTCGACTAAAAAGTAAAGATATGTTTATATAATACTAAGTAAATGATATTTGTCCAGTATCCAATGCTATTTAGCCTACAGAAAAAGAGGTATATGGTTATTTAAAAAAGAACATATGAATAAAATCGATACAACAGTCTTTACCTTTTAGCATCAAAATGAAACTTAAGTCCTTAATGAAAATTTATTTTAAAAATTCCATCATATATCGACTAGATAGGGAAATATGTTTAGCTCGTTTTTTTGTTGGTTTAGCATAGAATCGTTCGAAGAAAAAAAAAGACAATCGTCCAGTACTTAGGAACATATATAGTTCAACCAAAGGAAACTCTGAGCATTCCATAAAATATGTCAGATATTTCTTTTTTTGCTATTTTTTGAAATTTTTTTCTCATTGATTTTTGTACTGACACAATTTTGTACTATACTAAAGTCTACTCATCAGTAAGAATTGATAATTATGTAAGTCTGAATGAACCTCATAGTTTCATTTTTTCTTTTACAATAGAAATCCTCGACGTGTAACGAAATCCGCAGTGGCAAACTTAATTGAACATATGGAAAAATGCACTAACATGAGTTCAAGTGATGAAGAATCTGATTTTGCTGCCAATAAAAGTGAGGACGACAGCAATACTAAAAGTAATAACGATGGCAAAACTATTATACAAAAGAATCAACGACCTATTAGTCTTTTACGTTTTGTAACTCGACTAGATGGTCGACATTTACTGTCAAAGATGAGTAGCGATGCTGAATTACAATCGAAGGCTTTGACTCTATTTTCGGAAGATTCAGAATCTTTTGACATGGCACAAATCATATATGATTCCGATAATGAAAATCACAATGATGATCACGATGTCGAATATCCCGGTGCTGTTACTACCGCAATGACCGAACAACAACCAATTGAGCATGATCTCGATGATATTCGTCAAAAGACATTGGAACATAATCGACAACAACTTAAAGGAATTCAATTTGCAAATGCAGGTGATGGAAATTTAAAAGTAGTAAATAGTTACGCAGTTACTTCAAATACGTGTACTCTTATTTAAATATGTACTTTTATTTGTCTATCCTACTCCGCGATGTTAAACATTCAGAAACCAATTAAACGTCCTCGTTATCTTTCGATAAATCGACAACATCATAAATTCATATCAATTTGAAAGCTCAATTATTAAGTCAAAGGATTGAAAAAGATTTAAGCAGTTTAGTTTCAGGGTATTACTAGATTAAATGAATTCAGATTTATTTTTTTGAAAAATTAATTTGACAGAATACTATACTGTAAGATTAATAAAATACATAAAGTCACAAATAATCAAGTTGATTTCTATTTCAAATATCAAGACTTTTGTGCGATCACGATTCTTTCGAACTTGCCGGTGAATGATTTCGTACAAAATCTAATTTCAAGAACTTTCAAAGCTTCTTGAACTGACAACTAACTGTAGCGTCAATTCTATCGATCTGTAATAGATGTACGATCCGAAAGCTTTGTAGAATTCTCGAAACCAGAACAAATCATTATATTCAATTGCTCGATGTGTCGATATCGAAAGACATTTTAGCATTTTCTATCATGTTACTCTTGTCTCTGAAATGTTGAACGTCGTGAAATAGGATTACCGTGCTAGTTAACAGTTAATTACAACCTCATTAAATAATCTAATCTCAATATGATATCTCAATAGGTTTTTTTTGTGAATCAATTTTTCTCTATTGTCAAAATAATAAATATTTATCATATACAATATACGCAGTTCACATGCTTTATCTACCGCATGTGATTAGATAAAACAAGATTACATAGGTACCATGGGCATGGCATTCATACATGCTCGTAACCGATTGGCTATTTTAATAGCTATATTATCTATTTGTCAAAGATTTCTTATCCAATATTGCTATTTTCTAATTTATTCTTAAGAATTGATCCTGTTCAGTTATAGTCGAATTTGATTTTTTTAGATGTGTATTACAATGAATATCTTAATACTAATTTTAGTATAAATTTTGAGACAGAAAAAAAGAAGTTTTTTTAGACAGGTGTATATAAAGTAGAGTAAGATTTTCAGTATGTGAAAAGCCTATCGGTGTTCATCGGAGGAAACTACGATAAGATGAGCTTGATTTATGTGACAAAAATAATCCAGACATTGATTTGATAACTAATGAATGATGATGATCTTATGTTTTTTTAAGATAAAATTAGACTCGAAGAAATATATCTAAATATACATAATCTATTAATTAACATTACATTGTATGAAATATGCCTAACTTTGGGAAAAAGTTTACATGAGTACTATTGGGATAGGCCCATGGTTCAACAATAATAAGAGTTTCAACTTTTGAACAATTGTCTTTAACTTGTTGTTGATTTTGATTAATTATTGTTAACAATACGTCATTACGAATGACAAGTTCGATTAGACATGGAAGATAAGTTCGATATAGAAGTTGTTCAGCATAATCCGCATGAATATCATGCAAAATAAGCGTTGCTAAATGACGAAATTCAATAGAATTATTTGTCGTCGTACTTTTTTCTTCTTGTTCAAGAAGATTGAATACTTCAAGTACTTTAAGATGAGGTAAAGCTTGTGCAACACGTTGAAAAAAACCATGTTCAAAAGGTTTGACATCATCAAAAAGTAATAACATAGTAACATTTGAAAATCTTTTTTCAACATCGAATAATGGAAATCGATTCGAAATAAAGTCGAGACGAGTACCAATAAATGGAAGAGAATAGATTTGACATTGACCATATCGATTATTAAAATAATCAATTGTACAATCAATAGATTGTTGATATTGAAAAAAACTTTGACGAATTTTATCGAGTTTTATATGAGCAGCATCTTTTAAAATTGAACGAATATGAAAATCAAACTGGCATAAATGAGGCATATATGAAATAATATCTCGTTGTAAGTCCAATCCATCAATAAAGTGATTTGGTCCATTTTCACCGATAGCTAATAATAATGTTAAATGTTCGACACTTGATAAACGTTGTAAAAAAGGAATAATACATTGTTCATACTCGAAAATATTTCTATATATTGTCATTTTTAATTCTTTCAAATTAGGACAAGATATCTAAGTTAAATAAAAAATAATATAAAATTACACCAAAAAAATGACTTACCAATGATATTTGTGATAAATCTAATTCTTTAGATAGATAGACGTGCATCATGCTCACAACGAATGAATGTAATTGTGCTCCTATTTGATTCAATAAACGAACACAATCGCCGAATTGATGAAATGTAATACTAATATGAGTAAGATGAAATGCTTGAGGAAAGAACAATTTTTCATCACTTGATGGAATGGATATAGCACAATCAGGATCAAATTCAAACGAGTTAATTAATGACATTATTGGTGAATGACAGTAGAATGAAAGTATATCATTAAGTTTCTGAGAAAGATCGAACATTTGAGGTATGTCTGAGAATAGAGAATAACGCCGTACCTCGTCATCACTATAAAAGTCTAAAAATACACAAATCAAATAAGTTTTCGATCCATATAAATCCAAAAATTATGAAACTAATTTATCATCTGTTCATAGTATTCAAACATAAATATTATCTATTCATCTTAGATGAATTTTATTCATCATATTAAAAAGTGACATCGAAATTTCAGTAGTAGAACTTCTAGAAAAAAATTCATTTGAACGAAATCGAGATAAAACGATACTCAGCTGTTTGATTTTCTATACTGAAACTATGTTATAGAATCGAAAATATACTCAAACATAAATTCTCTTTCAATCATCAGGATTAGATTTCCAAAATCCTGAAATTATAAATTAAGTCGATTCTTGTCTAACGAGGTGTATATATTCAAATAAAAAGAGAACAATTATGTATAACTTACTTAATGTGACAGGTGTTCCTGTATTACGATTCAAACGGCCGGCCATTATTTTTAAATGCTTTAAATTATTGAGACAACTTTTATCATCAATTCTTTCAACAAGCTGATAAAGACTTGATATATGTACAAGATTGATTGCAAGTGATTCAATATAATTAAAAATACATGGTAAAGTAGATAATATGAATTCTTGAATAATCATTTCATATGGTGAACCAAAATAATCAGAAGTTAGATCGATCGAATGACATTGGTCAAGAGCAAGTTGTTCCAAATGAATATTTTTGGTACCAATCATAGAATAGAGTAATACAGCTCGAGGTTGGATTTTATTCATAATGGATAAAATTATCTCATCTGGTAAGTCGAGCAAGCCGACAAGATTTTCTATACAAAACAATAGAACAAAATATTTATATTAATAAATAGTTAAATACTTGTGTTTGATAAGCAGGTCATTGTTTATTTGACGTATCGGTGAGAATATTGAACATGTGCCAATTTATTTACATATATATACATATATATAGAAGCCTTTCTGCTTCACGATTATTGTCTTGAAATGACCGTTAATAATAATCGGCCAAATTTCAGACCAAATACTGAAGCGATCAGAATGAATATGAATATGAATGGGTTATCATCGGTCTCAATCATATTCAAGTCATAGATAGTCAATCATATTCTGCTTTTTGATCGCTTCGCTTTAGTCAATGTCGAATATCAAATGAACTTATGCACGCAGTTTGGATCAAAGGTCAGAAAAAAAATCGAAAAAAAGGCATAAAAAGAGAAGGTATATTTAATGGATAGATTATATTTTTGAGTCCAACGAAATGATGGCGCTATACTACACGCACATTTTCATGATACTACAAGCAATTTTGTTAAGAGTAACCATCGTCGAGAAATTGCCCATGTAGCCGATTTTTAGAAATAAGGTACATTGCAATGCATTATTTTTCAATAGAAATGCAATGGATGCAATTACATGATAATGCAACCCAAATAATCCATTACAATGCATTTTTTATAAAAATTCATTGCTATTCATTGAAACATCAATGCATTAAAATGCATTGTTTGGGTTGCATTATCATGTAATTGCATACATTATTGTTAAAAATTCATTGTAATGCATTGAGAACGTCATACTTTGTACTCTTATCCTTTTATGCTTACCTTCGTACCCTTAACTATATTTGCTTAACCCTATACCTTTAACTATAAACACTCAATGATACATCCTTAACCCCAAACCCTTATGCCTATATCCTTAATCCTATACCTCTAACCCTACACTCCAAACCTTGATACCTATATCCTTATTCCTATACCCTTAATAGTAAACCCTAAAAACTATATGCTTAACCCTATATCCTTATTCCTATACCATTCATACTATATCCTTAACCCTATATCCTTATTCCTATACCATTAACCCTATATCCTTATTCGCATGCCGTTAATACTAAACCCTTAATACTATATCCTTATTTCTATACCCCTAACCCTGTATCCTTATTCCTGTACCCTTAATACTAAACCCTTAATAATATATCCTTAACCCTATATCCTTATTCCTATACCCTTAATACGATACCTTTAATACTATACTCTTAATACTGTACCCTTTTTCCTGTACCCCTATATCTATATTCATAATCCTATACCCATATGTCTGTATCGTTAATAGGATAACGTTAATACTATACCTTTATTCCTATACCCTTTACAGAATACCTTTATCTGTAGACAGCTATATTTTTATGATTGCTCTTCTTTGACTGTAGCTAGATGTTGATTTCCTTTTGACCACATGCTGTGACTTTATGTGAAGAACAGAAAAAGATAAAAGTTTTGCTATTGAATTTTATTTAAAGCATTGGTGAAAGTTATCCTGGAGAACGTCCTAACTATTGGTAGTCTTTGATTGGTGTGCACGACGAACATATTAGCTTGAATTTATTCTTGATGAATCTACTTCTCTGATAAGCTTGAGAAGTTCATTGTGGTTCGAAATGGAATGTTGGCGAAGTATAATGAAGTATCTGAGTATTATTGTGTGAAAGATGAACATAGAATTAATTCAAAGCAATTGAAGCACGCTTTGCTGTGGTAAACTTGAAGTCATTAAAAATTTAGCGAGGATAACCTTGACGCAGTTTTGAAATATGATGAAGCACAAAAGTTTCGCCTTTTCTTCTTCACCTAAAACTTGGAGGTATCCTTTATCACTAAAGCATTAGTTTTATATGTTGGTGACTGCATTTGGGAGAATGTTCGGTAAAAAGGCGTGATACATGGTAAGCGGTTAAGAGGCGTCATGGCTTATATATGTCATCTTTCCTCGTATCATTGTTGTGACGTTATCGTGTGTATTTTTCATGTGCATTTTTCTGTGTTCTATTGTCATGCGTGAATGCATATGTTCGCGTATATAGGATGATCATCTACATTCGTTCTCTTAGTCTTTCTGCATAGATCATGAATATTCTTTCTGATACTTTTCAGGAAGTTCTTGGTTCTCTACTAGCTTGTGGATACATATGATGCGTTATAGCGATTTCCAGGAAATTGTATGACTTTTGAAAATCCAATTAATTTCCGGAAATTGAATTTGGTCATCGGATACATTGAACTGACCAAAAATCTATGATTTCCTTAGTTTCCATGATCGCCATTATGGACTTTAGGATTGACTGCCATAATGGACATAAGGGACATAATCCTCATTATGGACTTTAGGATTGACTGCCATAATGGACATAAGGGACATAATCCTCATTATGGACTTTAGGATTGACTGCCATAATGGACATAATCGCCATTATGGTCTTTAGATTTGACTGCAATAATGGACATAATGGAGATAATGGCCGTAGTGGACATAATGGCCATAATGGACATAATGACCGTAATGGACATAATGACCGTAATGGACATAGTGGCCTTAATAGCCCTAATGGCAGTTAGCGGCGCAGGTGACAGTGGGCTAAATGAATTTCGTCAGTCATCAACCACCTAAAATCTGACACACACATCAACGCTGCAGTTGAGGGTGCAGCGAAACACGTGCTAAGGATAACAGCAAACTCAGAATCTGACAGACATAGATCAGCACTGCAGATGAGGTGCGTGTGTGTTGCTTATTCTGGACCACATCCATATGATGCATTCTTAGAGTTTCCTGGAAAATCCATCGACCTTCCGGACAACGACCTTTCTGGAAACCCAAATTGAATATCCGAAAATCTTATTTGACTTTTCCCAAACCAATTCGACTATCAAAAATCAAAAAAAATCCACAAGATAATGCCTTTCGGGAAACCAATAAATAAATCTAGGAAAATGTAAAATTACTTTCCGCAAAGGCAATCAGCTTTCCAACAAGAAAAAAGTAATGCAAAATATCTCGATCAAGTTCACATTAACACAGTACATAGCGATTTTGAAATGAACACATCAAACTCTGTTCAAAAGTAGCAACCCAACTCGGCGACACATAAGCAAACATTGTAAACACAAAAACCATTAGATTTCAAAAACAATATATTTATGATAAAATATCCTTTGATATTAACCGAAGGGAATCCTCCGAGACACTCAAAATACGTCATTAATCCAAGCTGTTGCAAATAGTATATTCTTCCACTGCAAGCAAAACCCATGTGCAAAACCGTCACGGTACTCCCCAAAGCTTTGCTTAAGAAAATGCCTCATAACTACATAAACACACACCTCACGATAAACAAGGTAGACGTGCCGTGAAGAACCGACGCAGTGTGGGTACGGCGAAAGCAATTCCATCACAGTCCACGCATATATCCATATACATACACCTCGATACACACAACCATTCATACACAGACACATCGTCGCAGCTGGTGCGGGTGTGGCAAAAGGAGTTCCATCACTGTCGACTAGCACACATCTATATACACACACATCATCGCAGCTTGTGCGGGTGCGGCGAAAGGAGTTCCGCCATCGTCGACTCACACTCATCTATACACACATACATCGATACGCACAGACATCCATAGACACACACATCCATGCACACACACATCATCGCAGCTGGTGTGGGTGCGGCGAAAGGAGTTCCATCACTGTCGACTCACACACATCTATACAGATACACTTCTCTGTCGAAGTTGTAACTTGGATAGGACATATAGATATACGCATGAAAAGAAAGTCTTTTTTATGCGTAGCTAACAAGACTGTCTCCTATCATTTTAACTGAAATTTGCTCTGGAATATAACAGTACTGCTACATGTATTGCCTGGAATGTCACCGATGTATGGTTTATCAAAAGCTTTATTGCAGTTCGGGGAAATTGAAATCGATTTCCTAGAAATGGAAGTGCCCATTATGTCCATTATGTCCCTTATGTCCATTATGGCAGTCAACTCTAAAGTCCGCTATATCCTTTCTTACGGCTGTGGCAAAAATGAATTGCCCGGAAAACGCTATAACGCATCAAATCTGTGGATATCTCCTTTTGCTTCTGTACTCATGTATATTTATATACCACTCGTCTACAACAATAAGCGTGTTATACATGCATAATGAAGCTAAATTTGTCTTTGAGCAGAACTGGTTAATTGTCGACAGTCTGTCTTAAGCTTTGCGACATCTTGTGTTTGATTTTGCGAACGATCTTACTGCAATCTCCTTTCCGTGCATTGTGCACTGCTGACGTTAAGAGATCAAAATTCTAAGTTATGAATCATAATCCATTAAAGTCTTACTGAATTATTATGGAACTTCTGGACATGTTCTCTGTAACTACATATAGGTTTGACTGCATTACGAGACATTTGAGCATTATTTATAATAATGTATGAAAATGTGATAACATACGTTGAAAGTTTACTGAATTGTCGAACGTTGATGAGTTATTTCTGAAAATGCATTGAAATGCATTGAATGCTTTAGCAATTTTTGGGACATTTTAACATTATTTTCAATAATCAATGCATGGCAATGCATTTTTCTCCAAAGCATTTTGCCTAAATATCACATTATTACTCAACAATGCATTGAAATGCATTGCTCTTCCGTGTAATTTCGAGCCATTTCTACATTATTTCTAAAAATGCATGCCAATCCATTGAATCTCAATGCATTATCCGTCATTAGAACATGTTTATGAAAAATGCATTGAAATGCATTGAAAACTTTAACATTTTTTGGGACATTTTAACATTATTTTCAATAATGCATGGCAATGCATTTTTCTCCAAAGCATTTTGCCTAATTATCACATTATTATCCAACAATGCATTGAATGCATTGCTGTTCCATGGAATTTCGAGCCATTTCTGCATTATTTCTAAAAATGCATGCCAATCCATTGAATTTCAATGCATTATCCATCATTAGAACATTATTGGTAAAAAATGCATTGAATTGCGTTGAAATTGCAAAAAATAATGCATTATCATTATTTATTTGGCATTTTTCTCAAAATAATGGACAGTAATGCATGATTTCCCCATTATTTATGCGTTTTCGGCTACATGGATAGGATGTTTATTGGCCGATAAGCCAATGGGAGAAATGAAATTTTCTGCTAACATACTGTTCACCACGAATGAAATGGCAAATAAATGACACTAATCTACGTCTTGAATAGACTAATTCTTTATTATGACTGATAGAGAATTAAATTCTCTATTTGATGAGATTGATTCGAAATAAAAGCAATATTGTTTTACAAAGATCCTAGCATGATATCTCACAATATCGACGACAAATTCAACGATGATAACTTAAAGATAGATGTTCCTTAGCCCTTTTTGTCTTAAGCATAATCGAATAGATCTGAAACACCTGTCGAACAACTTAACATAAAATTCTAACCGAGACCATAAGTAAATTTTTGTAAAGCTAAAATGTGTATATTTGTGGTCAAATGTCCTTCTCTCATCCTTTTGGTTAGTAGAACCATATTTTTCTAACATAAATTTCTTTGAATATTTTAGGTTTACAGAATCAGTTTCGAGATATTATGAATGTTCCTTCAATTGTAGCAGATGTTTGGAATGAAGATTGTGAACATTTATCTCAGCATTGTTTGTCCGAATGGGTAGTAATATCTGCATATCCTATTTTTCCTGGAATGTTTCAATTTATTTATCTAACTAATCGATCAGTTGATGAATTCAAAAAAAATGTTGCACCTAATTTTGTGTGCTTCAATGTACGAAGATGTCCTGTGTTAGCATCAAAAATTGTTTCTATTAAAATACTTGATGGATTATCATGTTGTCATCTTTCGAATCTAACAAAAGATGTTCAATTCAAAGATTTTAATGAAATAGTTGAAAAATTCGGATCGCTTAACCAACATTGCTTAAAAAATGGAATTGAACAATCATGTACAGATCCATCTTATTTTCATTGCAATAAATCCATGAAATGTATTCCATATCATCGAGTTGGTGATGGTGTGGTTGATTGTCGTTTTAGAGAGGGCGAAGATTTTAATGCTTGTCAATTGAATGATACAACTCGATTTAAATGTCAATCAAATTTGAATAAATGTTTTTCACCAGTTGTCATTGGTGATGGATTTCATGATTGTCTTTCGAGAGAAGATGAAATATTTACATACACACAAGACTTAGTCAAATTAATACCATTTCCAGAGTTATGTAATCTTCAAAAGAATAAAAATGTAGTTCCACTGAATATTAAAGAAACTGATGAAAGCAATTGTACTTGGTAGCCATGTGATAATCCATATACACAATGCGATCAATATTGGCATTTTCCGAATGGTATCGATGAGCTCAATTGTCCTAATACAAAATGTTCTTTCAAGGCACATGAATGTAAGAATAAACAATATGGATTATCTTATTGCTTACCATTAGCTCAAATCTATGAAAAATATCTTCATCCTTGCAATAGTACTCTAGTACATCGTAATGTTTACTTTAATAATGAAACAATGAATATAAGTAAAAACCATTTGTCTTGGAACTATGGCAGCAAATGTGTCATTTCAGAGAAGCTTTGTGAAAAAAATCATCATTTCAACGCCTCGTTGTTAGAAAGTGATATTTGTCATTACCGATCTAGAAAATCAAATATGAGGTTTAACTACAATTTTAAAAGTTTTTCGAGCAATCAATATCTATGTACTTTCCCATCTTCAATACAAAGTTCTAAATATCCTTATTATTTTTCTACAGCCAAAAGATTGAGCTATTTTCCAGCAATGTTAATCAATCATTCTATTTCGCCAATATCTAAAACAAATCACAAGAAAAAGATCATACTTGATGTCGATTTCGGATTAATTTCATATTGTCATCGTGGCATTCTTGTACTTAATGGTCAAAATGAAAGAAAAAAAATGTCTTTGTCCACCGAATTATTTCGGTGCTCGATGTCAATGGCAAAGTCAACGTATTAGTTTGACTGTTCAATTAAAATGGCAAAGTATTGCATCTACTACTGTTATTTTTCAAGTAATAATCATGCTAATAGATGAACATGGACGAATCACACTTAATCATGAGCAAATTACATATATGCCTACTCATGATTGTTCTACAAAGTTTAATGTCTATCTACTCTATCCCGATAGACCAAAATCTTTATCAAACAATTATTCAATTCGTATTGATCTCTATGAAAAAACAAAACTAAATTATTGGGCAAGTTTGTTGGTATTTTCCGATATCTTTTCAGTTTTTACCTGTCAATAGAATTGTTACTCAATTATTCATTCCTGAAATACGAGAAATCAAACCATGTCTACTATCATGTGGAGAACATAGCAAATGTATGCAATACATAAATCAAAAATCATTATTTTTTTGTCAATGTGATCAAGGATACTCCGGTACTTATTGTAATATTACACATAAATGTAATTGTGCAAATGATTCATTTTGTCTTGATTCACCAATCTGTATCTGCTCATTACATAAATTTGGTCGATATTGTCATTTAACACATTCAATTTGTCAATCATCAAACAATCCATGTCAACACAATGAAGTTTGTGTACCAACTGATGATTGTATTAGTCTAAAAGCATTTACCTGTTTCTGCCCAGAAGATTATTCAGGTCAATTATGTCAAAATAAAAATAATCGAATTGATGTACGTTTAGACGAAACAATAATATCCATAACTTCACTATTACTTTTACATTTCATTACTATATTTGAAGATGCTGAATATGAACGAATAACTATATTAAAAAGAGTTCCTTTTAATCAAAATATTTTAACAATTATTGTAAGATAACCATTTAATATATACTCTTTGTTCAAATACCTAATCAACATTATTATTTAACAGTACTTCGAGAAGTATTTAAGCCTTCAGAATATATTTATGCAGAAATACAACCAAAACAACGCTGTTATTCTATCAATGATCTTTTGAATAGTACTTATTTAGAATATGAATATTTACGGCGAGTAAAATATTATCCATTGTTATGTCAAGAAAATCATAGATGTCATAATACCATTACACTGGATATCGAGAGCCAACCGTCAAAATACCCGCAGAGTAATCAAGTCTATTCACTTTTCCGATCTATAATTTAAGAACAGGAGTAATGACTTCAATACCCCTTACATAAACTATATATCGTACAAGTTGAGCGTTTTGAGTGGATTCGGTGTAATGACGTCATCATCCCGAGGTAATACACCAAAACCATTCAAAACGCTCAACTTTAAAAAGTATATAGTTTCCATGGCACATAGTGATATCATTACCCTTGGGGTAATTGCTGTTTCGCGGCGGATACCCGGTGTAACGGAATTATGACATCACTCAAGAAAATTTACAAATGATGTGTTTTTATGATAAAAATCTCATGTGTGTATGTGATATTAATCGATTTTCTAATCGTTTTCTATTTAATCATACATCAAATAATGATTGTCAAGGATATAATCGTTGTGAAAATGGTGGTCAATGTTTTCAAAACAATGAAACATGTCCAACAAAATCAACTTGTATATGTCCAGATTGTTATTATGGTGCTAAATGTCAATTTTCAACGAAAAGCTTTATGTTTTCACTTGATTCAATTCTTGGATATCATATTAAACCAAAGATATCATTTAATCGACAACCACTAATTATTAAAATAAGTATTCTTATTAGTACAATTATATTAATATCAGGATTAATTAGTGGATTATTATCGATTGTAACATTTCGTAGAAAGAAACCAAGACAAGTTGGTACTGGTTATTATCTTTTATTATCCTCGATTACTTCAATATTTACAATAATTATATTAACTATTAAATTTTGGCGATTAATTTTTTCACAAATGTCTTTGATCAATAATCGATCTATACTGTATTTCAATTGTATCTCCATAGACGTTATTCTTAAAATTTTTTTATCATCAAGTGAATGGCTAAATGCATGTGTAGCTATTGAAAGAATAATTAGTATTATGAAAGGTGTTCATTTTAATAGGAAAAAAAGTAAAAAATTATCTAAATGGATCATTGTAAGTGTATTTATTTTAACAATATTTACATACATTCATGATCCTATTCATCGTCAATTAATCGATGATATAGACATTGATGAACATCAAATTTGGTGTTTTGTCCAATATTCATCATCATCTGTTAATATTTACAATTCATTTATTACACTTTTTCATTTTCTAACTCCGTTTTCAATTAATGTTATATCTGCTCTTTGGATTATTATAGCATCAGCTTATAATCGTATTGGTGTACAACCTGATCAATCATTTCAACAACATTTACAACATCAAATACAAAAACATCAACATCTTTTATTTGCACCATGTATGTTAATATTATTGAATTTACCTCGATTGATAATTTCATTTACAAGTGGATGTATGAGATCAGCACGTAAACCATGGTTATATCTTATTGGTTATTTTGTCTCATTTATTCCATCAATGTTAATGTTCTTTGTTTTTATATTGCCATCAAAAAATTACAAAAATGAATTTAATACAATGCTTCAAGAAGCAATGATAAGATTTCGTAGATCTTCTTGATATGTTTATCACAATAACTCTTTTATTTTGAACACTACTTCGTTTTATTTCATTCATTTTAACAGAAAATAGATATTTTCAACAAATCTTTAATTTATCTTCAATAAATGATTAGTCGAAAACTTGTTTCAATATAATAAATATTTCATACTACTATTTAAGGTTGACCAAAAGTTTTGACCACGGTGTTTAAACGACTTTGTCGAATAAGATGATCTATTCAGAAACGAAAAAATCAAATAAACCATGTTCTAGAGGTTTTTGAGGGACTTCGAATAGTATAAAGTAAATCCTATTTTCAGAAGATTTTGAATAAACAAAAGTCAATTTACTGATAGACGACTATACACCCACAAGATGACTAGAGATGCTACATATATGAGATTGTAGTGCGTCAAAAGCTCTACGAAATCGTATACAAGAAAAAATATTTCACAAATATTTTTGACTAATACCAAGGACCAAAATATTCAGTAACTTATCATGCTTAGGTGTGAGTGTGTAGTCGTCTATCAGTAAATTGACTCTAGTTTCTTCAAAGTCTTATGAACACAGGAGTTACTATATACAATTGAACACGTCTAAAAAATTCTACAACATGGTATATTTGATTTTTCATTGCTGAATAGATCACCTTATTCGTGAAGATTCTTTAGATACCGTGACCAACACTTTTGATCAACCCTAAGTATTTAGTTCCAATGTTTCATTAAAAAAAAATAGCTATTTCTATCAATAAAAGACTATGAATAAGTGACATCTATTACACTCACATTTGGTAAAATATGTGTTCATGTAAAATTTTCTACAGAACTCTGCCAATAAAATAAATTTAAAATTGATTATGCAAAACTAAAACTAAAGTTCATTTCATTTATTCTTTTGGAACAATTTATGGTCCAATCTGTACTGCTTATTTATTCAACTTGTCCACTTTATTAATATATCTGTACCTACTATTTAGTAAACAATATGGTCATAATAAAAAATCAAATTATTCTTTTGATAGAGTACGAATTAAATCAAATATCAAATTGAATGAATTGATATTAATCTTTTTTTTCTCGGAATGATGTGATCGAAAAATATATAATATTAGAACGCAATGATCTCCTCTGTAGACAAAGAATAATTGTAGAAAAACTTTGTGAATCATTGCAATTATTAAAAAACCTCTGTTATTGATTTAATTAATTATAAAGAAGATGCTGACATAACTTAAAAAAGCTCTACATGAACTACTTTGTTCACTTAATGATGATCATTTAATTGTTACTGGACAAGCAGCATTAATTCTACTTACATAAACTAAAAATGAAATCTCTCGATTAGCATTAACTACATCATAAATGATATCCATGCGATGTGTTAACGATGAAACATGTCAAGGTGTTGCTGATGTTTTACATTGTTTATCTTAACAAAAGAAACAAGATCTTACATATATTATATAGAAATGATTATGAAAAACTTTAAATGAATAACCACATATTTTCGTACTTTATCTGTTACTTCATTATGATATCAAAAAATGCAATTAAAATTTTTGTAAAATAATGATATTATCGAAAAAAGTTAAAGTAACAAAGTTGTTCACAAATTCTTTGAAATTTATTAGAATGATCTACTAAATTAGTTCGTAATAAATTCATTTTTTAAAATTCTGAATATTTATTTTTCATTTATAGGAAAATCTCGATCGATTAATTCATATAATTATTAAATTATCATAAATATAATTTATACACGTATTAATACAATAATTTTGTATTATAATAAAGAAAATTAAATTGTAAACAATCTGTTAGTAATTTCTGATTTACTGAGTTCAACAATATATTCATGGCCTATTATAAAATTCACAATTAATTTAATCAAAGATTTAGATTTATCAAAAATAATCTTTCAATTTTATGTAAAACTAGTGCAATACAAAAAACTAAAACAATTATTTGTTCAAGGTCATGAAGCATTAGACAAGTAACAATTTAATCGAAAATACATTGATAAATATTAAAATACGGATGATAGCATTGTAATTTGTGCTAGTGTATTACATAGATTGTGTACATCATCGTCGAAAGAAAATTATAGCTATTTACAGATGCTCGTTTCAACAATCGTCCTTTTCGTTCGTTTTTTTTGATTATATACTCGATAGAGGGAGTTGCTATTCAATTATAATAAGTGCATCATGAATAGTAATGTGCTCTTCTTTCACTAACTTAAGTTTGTTATCAACTTATCATATCAGTATTATTATTGAGAACAATTAATATAAATGCAAGAATACAAGACAAGTCTATATTTTTCCTAAGTTAACTTTCGATAGGAACAAGATATAGGATGGAGGATTTCACCATTTATAAGAGAGACGATCGAGCTACAAAACTATATCAAATTTAATCAGTCAATAATTAGCGAAACAGGTGAGTTCTTGGTAAATATTTATGAAAACGACATTCTTAAGGTATTTCGTATTGCATTCTTATTTGCAATATAATTCTTCGATAGAGAAATTAATCTCTTTTGATCTGTATAAAACAGATATTTATATCTTGTTCAGAAAGGATAATTAATCAAATCTAGTTAAATGACAATGTTTATTCTTGCTTTAGAAAAAGATCTCAAACGAGGGCAGGAAGGTTTTTGAATTATTAATTTTCTCGGTATAGAGATGAGGCATCTAATTCTGCGAAACTTTTGTTGTTGTGATTTTAAATCTTTTTCGAAGCAAAAAAAAAAACATTATCAACTGACTAAGATTAGTCCATCACGACTATCAAGACATGTTGTCAGATGATCGACGATAATATAGTTGAATTTTAAGGTCTTTTCGAAACCTCTATAGCTTTGGAATAGAACATGATCGCGATGTCAACATTGTGGAGATTAAAGAAAAACAAGTTTCCCTACCGGATAGCCACATTGCACGTCAAAATTCAATAGAAAATACTTCGACAGTCTTCGTTGAAAAAATATGTATCGAGAACTCATCTGTGAATCAATCAAATTTAACATAGTTTTGTAGTTAAATCATTTCTCTTACCATCTCCTATCAACACAGACATAATATTAGCATGTTTCTAATACTGTAGGTATCATCTCAGAATATTGTCAATAGCGCTTTGACCATAGAAACGAAGATCGCCCGCAACAGACATCAATTAACATTTTCAGAATAATAGAATGTCGTATTTTGACGAAGTACATATCAATCTTTATAAAAGTTTATGGCGAAACGACGAAAAAAAATCTAAACGTAGTTAAGATTTCAAATTGTTCTTGAAATAGATAAGATAATATCGAATACTTTGCAAAGAAATAGATTTTTTTCTTTGACATAAAAAATATTCGACGGTCAGAATAATTCTTTTTTTTAAAGTTTGTTTTCCAAAATTTGTTTCAATCTTACAAAATCTTTTCATTTGTTCGATAAAATCTAATGATTAGAAAATATTCGTTTTGCTTTTCTAAATAGTTTCTTTCTTCATCGACCAATGCATTAATTCAACATGGAGTTACAGATGTTTTATAGGAACTTGTTAATGATCATTGATTTGATAAAATAACTGAACAGAAAAACTCTATAGAAAAATTAATAGATTTACTTGAATCAAATGATGAAACTGTTTGTCAATTGGAATTTTTTTTTTAAATAAAATTTAAAGTAAAGATTATTGTTTATTATAATAATAATAAATGCAGTTACAATTTTATTTTGTTTATCAAATGAAAAACCAAATGATTTAAGAAGTCATCTGTCAGAAAATATTACCTCAGCATTCCATAAATAATGTAAATTTAGTTGTACTGATATTAAATTCAAACTATTATGATTTGTTTTTCAATTTTAGTACGATAATTTGAGTGGTCAATTTTATTCAAATTTATATTGGACTGCCATGGCTAAATGTCATCCATCGAATGGTATACTGACTATGTTGTAACATACACCCAGCCTTGTGGCTAATATATGATTTGTTAGTATGTCTGGAGACCTCAATTAATTGAATGCAAAAACTGTACGTCAGGCTGATCTTCTGTCTATGGTCACAGCTACTATTGGTTGAAGAAAAGACATTAGGATATCGAGTATACCACTAGGCAGCACCCCATACTGCAAAGTCACTGACAAACAAAAAATATTCTGCTTTTTCTAACTCATATCAAATAATATCTAATATACCTACAATGAATTCTTATGTATCAGAAGATTCAGCTGGTAGTGCTTTTGGTGCATTCATGAATAATAAAAGTTCACAAGCAGCAGTTTGGTTAGATAGGGATTTCATGAAAAACCTAGTTGTAGGAATTATATGGATGTAAATATTTATACAGATACATACATATCAAGAAAATAGATATTTGTTTTAATCAATTCGATCATTTATTCATATTGTTTTAAATCAAAGACTTATTTGTTCAATAAAAAAAATTTACATTGTTTTGTCTTCTAAAATTTTGAATAACTTTGTTCATTGAATAATAAGTCCATTTTTACACTTTCATTTATATACTTTTGTAGAATATACATTTGCTTGTTATTATTGTAGATAAATTTTCATAGTCAACGAACATCTTAGCAAAAAAAAAATCATGGCTCGATCAAAATGTTTCTTGTATGTTAGAATTAAGTTTGTGTTATTTATATTTGAAAATAAATATCTTTTTAAATTTAGTGATATTAATGTTGAAGATAAACCGTTAGGACGAATTATATTTCAAGTTTGTTAAATAAATATTTCTTTCAATTATTTTCTATTGTTAAAATTTTATTTTCTATTAGCTCTATAATGATGTTGTACCAAAAACAGCTGGTATGATGATAAGAGATTAAATTAATCAATGATAGATTTCGATGTCTTTTGTATATAGAAAATTTTCGAGCTTTATGTACAGGTGAAAGAGGTTTTGGATATAAAGATTCAATTTTTCATCGAGTAATTCCACAATTTATGTTACAAGGTGGAGATTTTGAAAAACAGTACGTAAAAGTT